TTAGGAGCCTGCTCAGTGTTAGCGACTGTGAAAGATGCAGGCTTTGTATTCTATATATTTAAAATCTAATAGGAGAGGAGACATGATTCAGGCAGTTTGTTGTTTTTCTAACTTAGCTGTGCTATCAAGAGTAGATATTTATTTGATATTTCTGTCCTTTTAATTTTTCATTTATAAAATTAGAAAATCAGTCATTGTTGGATATCATTTCTGACATGCAAGAGCACTTAAAAAGATTCTGGAAAATAGAACTCAAGGATTTTTTTGGTGAAAAAGATTGAAATCTATGCATATGGAGTCATAGAAAATGCATGCTGTGATAAAACCAAGCATGTGTTTAAAAAATTTTTGCACAAAATTCATCAAATTTATTTATTTATTTTTATTGAAAAGTCAGATACACAGAGAGGAAGATCTGTCCACTGATTTACTCCCCAAGTGGCCACAATAGCCAGAGCTGAGCCAATCTGAAGCCAGGAGCAAGGAGCGTCTTCTGGGTCACCCAGGTGAGTAGGAGGTTGCAAGGTTTTGGGCTGTCTTTGACCGCTTCCCCAGGCCACAAGCAAGGAGCTGGATGGCAAGTGTAGCTACTGGGATTAGAGCCAGTGCCCATTTGGAATCCTGGTGCATGCAAGGTGAGGATGCCAGGCCCTAAACTTATCTTTCATTCCAAGTTTTCATTGTACTTTTGGAAGTACCCTCATTTTTCAGGGTAAAATTTGGGAAAGTTGTCACAGACTGCTTCTCAAACTATAATGAATTACCAGGGCTGAAATTTAATCGCAGGTTGGATATTTGGCCCTGAGAGAGGCCTGGGATTCTGCATTTCCAAGAAGATTCAAGGGGCTGGATCCAGGACCACACTCATTCAACCATCCATTAAGATAGGTATTCTGAGTTCTATTTCACTGACAAAGGAGTGACATCTGTAAGGTCACATGAAAAAAGCAAGAATTCCAACTGAGATCTTTTTCACTTCTCATCTCCAAGATACATATGGCTTGTCGGAGTCCCACAACACGATCATAAGAAATTACAAGATTGGCAAAGTTCCAATGCCATTCAGAAAACTAAGGGACCACTTTCTTAAGAGATCACAGAGAAGATGTGACATGAGCATTTTAGAATCATTAGAATGAAATATACAAAGATAGACAGGGCATAAAACAATAGCTAAGCTTAACATGCTATGATCAGAGCGTGCCAGTGCACAGAAAATCTGAAGGGCCCATGATGACAGGACAGACTCAGGAAGTTCCATCTTTAAATTTTTCCCCTCCCATAACTCACAACATTCTTGGAGTATGGAGAGTATTTTATACTTTACCCATTATCCAGCCTTATTATGAGAGGAGTATATAGTTTGAGAAGCACAGTGGTCTCCCTTTCTGATTTCATTGCCTGAAGCTGTCTTCTGGGAGAAGTCTCTGAGCTCACCCATAGACTCCACATGCATGTCTCCCAGCTCTCTGTAAAGTGCCAGCTGCATGGCATGGGCTTACAGAAACAACAGAGTTAATTCTCTCCTTTCAAAATTGTGACTCCCACCCTCCCCCAATTCCTCTAAATGTTTCCTTTTAAAGAAAAGCCATGGTTCACTGCTACTGAAAATTAAAGACAACAGCATAAAGATCAAGGTCCAAGCTGGACCTGGCTGTAACAGAACATTAAAATCGCCACTCAAATTTCTCTTGCCTTGAACACTGACAAAGACTACTAACAGAAAGCCAGTCCCCAGAATGCAGGTTCATATTAGACTTTCTGAATTTTCCCCTTTCCATCCACAAACTATTTTGTTGAAAATGAACAAACTGAGGTGGCCATCAGTTGGAATAAAGCAAGAGAGGTAATGACACACCAAAAAGGCTTGCTTATGGCTCTCCCAACTTGCATTGCACATCATAACATGGAGTACCAAGAAAAAGCAGGGGTTTATACTAGGCAAAGGTTAATTAACAAAGCTAAAGAGAGAAAGAATTAATCAATACTCCCTTCTCCAAGCTGTACTTCTGGCCACCCCAGCTCCACCAAGCTTATTCCAGGAGTTTCCCTGTTTAATCTCTTCATAGTTTCAGACTGTGTTTTGGAAACTCAGTCCATATTTGTGTATCCCAGAATCCTTTTCCCCTTGCTGAATCTACAATTTCATGATTCTTGTCCTTCCTGATTCTATGTTGGAGACCTGGTCTTTATTCCCAAAGGTAAGTTAGCAAGGTGGCTTGGTGTAGCATACTTGACACCCAACTATGGAACTACTGCTGTTGCAGTTCAGCAAGACGGGCTCAAGCTCTGACCTCCCACAAAGGCGGAAAATGTCAAGGATATCTCCAAAGCATGTAAAGTAGCTTGCATCAGCAATCCAACACGGAAAGAAGACAGACTTGCCAGCAGAAACCTGTGGTTTGCCTAGAAGAGACCTATCAGGTATACATGCCAGTCGCATAACAACTCGGTGAAGTTAGAGCATCTTACAAGAGAGGTAAAGATGGGAACCAACGCACAGCAGGAAAAAGAAATCTTAGGTGAGTTCCCCGCTCCCTTTTCTTTCCTTTTTAGCATGTTGGACACTCCGAAGCATGAAATTAAAACTTGTGAAAAACAGCTATATCAACTTGCTCTGGTGACTCAAAAGTTATCGTTTCTCGACTCAACTTTGCTGCAACACTTGATTCGTGTTGTTCTTCTTTAACCTAATTTGCATTGATTTAATCAGTGTGGGTACGCTTTAAATACATAATAAATTGGATTCTGCAACTTAGATGACTTAGAATAGCTAAATTTCAATAAAGCTCATCTCAATCTGTTAATGTATACCATTCTGCCAAGGGGTTTAAAACTGTAGATAAGATACAACTTGCCATATTAGAGGTGGGAAAGGCTTAACGATAACATACAGATGAAGTGATTTGCAGGATAATAATGTGAAAGGGAATACTATATATATATGTATGTGTATATATACATATATATAATATTTCTTAATTACAGTCTAGAAGCATCGTTTCAGCTTTGAGTAGCATACTTAGAAGAAAACTCACATATAAATGCAGTGAATTTAATGTGATTCTTTCTTCCTTGCCAACATTCAACTCTGCTGCCTCTCTTACCAGCTCTACAAATCAAGTGACATCCAAAGTAGGACCTCTTTTTGCCCATTTGGCAGCTTCTGTTGCCACCTTGCCAAGCTGCCCGCATTAGGAGGATTTTCTTCCTAGCAGCCATGGGGATTGGGTGGTTTGCACTCACTGTCCTTGCTGAATGGCTGGCCACTGTGTACCCCACCAATGTCCACCCTCCCGTCCACCCCCCAGGCTCAACTCTTTGGCTTTTATGGCTCAATCAGCTACAATGCTGTCCAGAATAATTGCCTTGGCAGGAGGCAAAACTACTTGATGGTCAAGTTGTTTGTCTGTTAAGTGTTCTGCAGCACACTCAGGATGCCAGGGCAAAACCTGTAAGTGCCCAGTCCAAAGTCAGGTAGGAGGCAAGAGTGAAGCAGGGGATATCATCAAGAATGGCAAAGGACAACTGGCACTTTGAAAGAACAGCAAAGGCACCCTGCTACAGCAGTCCTAAGCTCTTTGTACAACCTTGGATAAATTCCTGATGTTTCTTGGCTCAGCTTTGTCATGTGCAAAACCAAATGGGTTCATTTTCTGATGTCTCTTCCAGCCCCTGAGAACATGTGATGTCTAGCTCATGTCATATTGGTGCTCATTCCAATTCAATGATGTATCTCAGTGATGCACGATCAGGTCAAAGCTCAGATGAATGCAAAATGGAATGCTTCATGCGTCTGTTCATACGACTTTTCCTGAAAAGTCCCACCAGTCCTTGGCGACTTTGATCCCCTTGTCTATTCAGTTTGGATGGTACTTAACCAGGTAGTCCCACTTGGGAGCTCTGGTAATCTACCTTCATTACTATCAGCAGATGATGCCCATTCATTTTTGCATTTCTTCCAGGCAGAACTGATAGGAATTCAAAGAGAGGACCTAGAAATGCACATCTCCCCACCACCTGCTTGGGCATCCTTATCATGAGGGTAGGCTTGCCCACATTCCTTTCCAGCAGGTTTATTCAGCCATCTTTGCCAGCTCTGAAGATTTTTTTTTTTTAAGCAGATAGCCAACAGGTCCCTGACAGGAACAGCGCAGACCCCTCTGGACTAGTTGGAACAAGAGGGAAGAGTTCACCTTAAGGACTTCTATCTGTCAGTAAGAGGAAATAATCTGACAAAGGTGTTTCTTCCTACTGGGAGAGGAAGTAACACAATTCAGGAGTCTCAAGGCTGAATAAGGGGTGCATGCACAGCAAGGGGCAGGTCTCCTAATGGTTTAAGCAACCTCTTCCCTGCACATTCTCTAGCACACTCTCCTGGGGTGGGATATACTGCAGAGCCTGGTAATGACCATGAACAACACATGTCAGGGTTAGTCCTTCCCATGTCAGGCAGCAGAATCTTAATTAACCCATCCTATGCACCACAGACACCTACAGGGATGGCTGAAGCCCCCGCAGGGGCTCAGGCAAGTCCTCCTGCACACAGACACCCGTTTCTGCCACACTGGATCTCACACCACCAGGACTGGGATGGCTTCCCAAAATGGGGGTGGGTTTGGAAAGCATCTCCCCATCCACCAAGGAAAAGGGCTGTCTGACCTCAGAGCTCCGGTGCTCACAAGGCGGGTGGGGTGGGGGGAAGCATGGCCAAGCCTAAGTCACAGCCTCCCTGTGTCTTCTCTGAAGATGCCTCTCTAAAGCAAAGGACCAAATGTTGATTTCTCTACAGATTCCTACGTATCTCTTACGCATAGACAGCTTTTAGGAGATGGGGTGGGGGTTGGGGGCTGGGGGTGGGGAAAAGATCCCCAAAAGGGAACTGGAAGAGCACGAAATATTTCAGTTTCCCACTTGGAAATATCCTGCCAGTGCTGATGCTACTCTTACCCTCACCCACTCCTCCCGTGTCTTTTTTTTTTTTCTTTTGAAATATAGACAAAAAAAGCTGCAAGTGTTTTCCATTTCATCAAAGGACACATATTACTTTAGTGGTTCGGTAAAATGTTGGTTTTATGCCCACCCCTTTTCAATCTGCCCATGTCTGAGGTGCACGAAGAGACGCACAATCGCGAGCAGCTTACGACACTCAGTGAGCAGTAGGTGCCTGTGCAAGCTCGCGCCGCACACTGCCTGGTGGAGGGAAGGAGCCGGGCGCCGCTCTCTGCTCCCCGCGCCGCCGCCCGCAAAGCATGAGCGAGCCTGTTCTCTGCAGCTGCCCAGGGCGCGAATGGCCGGCGGTCTCAGCGGAGTGAAAGGTGGCGCCGGTCACTGGTTCTTTCCAATGACGGACATTAACCAGACTGTCAAATCCCGGGGAGTCGCGAGCCCCGAGTTTGGAGTTTTTTCCCCCACCGCGTCACAGTCCGAACTGCAGAGGGAAAGGACGACGGCAGGAAGGCAAAGCCCAGGCTCCGGCACGTAGTTGGGAAACTTGCGGGTCCTAGAAGTCGCCTCCCCGCCTCACCCGCCGCCCTTGCAGCCCGGAGCCGAGCAGCAAAGTGAGACATTGTGCGCCTGCCAGATCCGCCGGCCGCGGACCGGGGCTGCCTCGGAAACACAGAGGGGTCTTCTATCGCCCTGCATATAATTAGCCCGCACACAAAGGGAGCAGCTGAATGGAGGTTGTCACTCTCTGGAAAAGGGTGGGTAAGACACTTTTTAATTAAATTCTTTCCCGAAGATTTTTTTTCCTCCCTTTTCTTTGCTGCAGCATCTAACATGGACCAAATCACCATCTCTTTGATCTTTCCGTTGCTGTGAACTTTCCATGCTGCCAGCTTTCTGCATGCGTTGAGGTGAACGTGTGGTTTTGGGGAGGGGGGGGTCCTTCTTTATTTCCATCTATTTATTTGATTTTTGCCCTTTTCTCCCCCTCCCCCGCTCCCCCTCCTTCGGAATAAAATATGATGTAGATTTCTGACCGAGCGCTTCCAATGGACAGTCTCCAGTCTCTCTGGAAAGATTCTCGCTAATGGATTTCCTGCTGCTTGGTCTCTGTCTATACTGGCTGCTGAGGAGGCCCTCGGGGGTGGTCTTGTGTCTGCTGGGGGCCTGCTTTCAGATGCTGCCCGCCGCCCCCAGCGGGTGTCCGCAGCTGTGCCGGTGCGAGGGGCGGCTGCTGTACTGCGAGGCGCTCAACCTCACCGAGGCGCCCCACAACCTGTCCGGCCTGCTGGGCTTGTCCCTGCGCTACAACAGCCTCTCGGAGCTGCGCGCCGGCCAGTTCACGGGGTTAATGCAGCTCACGTGGCTCTATCTGGATCACAATCACATCTGCTCGGTGCAGGGGGACGCCTTTCAGAAACTGCGCCGAGTTAAGGAACTCACGCTGAGTTCCAACCAGATCACCCAACTGGCCAACACCACCTTCCGGCCCATGCCCAACCTGCGCAGCGTGGACCTCTCCTACAACAAGCTGCAGGCGCTGGCGCCCGACCTCTTCCATGGGCTGCGGAAGCTCACAACACTGCACATGCGGTCCAACGCCATCCAGTTCGTGCCCGTGCGTATTTTCCAGGACTGCCGCAGCCTTAAGTTTCTCGACATCGGATACAATCAGCTCAAGAGCCTGGCGCGCAACTCTTTCGCAGGCTTGTTCAAGCTCACCGAGCTGCACCTGGAGCACAACGACTTAGTCAAGGTGAACTTCGCCCACTTCCCGCGCCTCATCTCCCTGCACTCTCTCTGCCTGAGGAGGAACAAGGTGGCCATTGTGGTCAGCTCGCTGGACTGGGTCTGGAACCTGGAGAAAATGGACCTGTCGGGTAACGAGATCGAGTACATGGAGCCCCATGTGTTCGAGACGGTGCCGCACCTGCAGTCCCTGCAGTTGGACTCCAACCGTCTCACCTACGTCGAACCCCGTATCCTCAACTCGTGGAAGTCGCTTACTAGCATCACTCTGGCCGGGAACCTGTGGGACTGCGGGCGCAACGTGTGCGCCCTGGCCTCGTGGCTCAGCAACTTCCAGGGGCGCTATGACGGCAACTTGCAGTGCGCCAGCCCGGAGTACGCACAGGGCGAGGACGTGCTGGACGCCGTCTACGCCTTCCACTTGTGCGAGGATGGGGCCGAGCCCACCAGCGGCCACCTGCTCTCGGCTGTCACCAACCGCAGTGACCTGGGACCGCCTGCCAGCTCGGCCACCACGCTGGCCGACGGCGAGGAGGGGCAGCGCGATGGCACGCTGGAGCCGGCCACTGTGGCTCTCCCGGGAGCCGGGGAGCATGCCGAGAATGCCGTCCAGATCCACAAGGTGGTCACCGGCACCATGGCCCTCATCTTCTCCTTCCTTATCGTGGTCCTGGTGCTCTACGTGTCCTGGAAGTGTTTCCCAGCCAGCCTCAGGCAGCTCAGACAGTGCTTCGTCACGCAGCGCAGGAAGCAAAAGCAGAAACAGACCATGCATCAGATGGCTGCCATGTCTGCCCAGGAATACTACGTTGATTACAAACCCAACCACATTGAAGGAGCGCTGGTGATCATCAACGAGTACGGCTCCTGCACCTGCCACCAGCAGCCCGCGAGGGAATGCGAGGTGTGAGCTTCCCAGTGGCTGTCAACCCCTGCGCTACCAAATAAGCCTGGGCAGCTGGGCGGGCCGGCAAGAGGAGCAGGCTGGGGTCTCCTAGTTTGTGCTCTGATTTGCACCTTGACTGAAACTGTAAGGGGATCTTTCCCAGAGACTTGATATTTTAGCTTTATTGTGTCTTAAAAAAAAAAAAAAACACAACAAAAATCCCATCCCACAACCTTCTTGGACAGTCTATCTTAAATTTCATATGAGAACTCCTTCCTCCCTTTGAAGATCTGTCCATATTCAGGAATCTGAGAGTGTAAAAAGGTACCAATCATTGATTTTTTTTTGTAAACTAAAATGTTTAAAATAAAATAGCATTTACAGTTTTTACAGACTGGTGTAACCTAAATGAATTGTTACCTGTGTTATAAGGAGAAGCAACAGTTAATGAATTTGCTTGGGGTGGGAGCTGAGGGATGGGTTTGCCTAGAGGCCAAGGGGAAAAGTCAGAAATGCAGGGGACAAAGTAGATTCAGTTTGAAATTTCCAGAAGGGGAAACAAAGCTGATCAGTGTAATGATTCAGGTTAATTGGCCTCTCCAAGAGTAGGGACTGAAAGAGAGGAAATAAAGAAGGAAGGAAGGTCTTTTAGATTGTGGGGGAGGGAACTGCAATCTTAGCACTTTAAAGGAATGGAAGGTGGACCTAAGGACTGAATGGATGGACAAGCTGCCCCAGCCTTTATGGAAGAGATCATTGCAAATGGCATTTTAAAAGGCAGTGCCAGACAGTTTTTCTTATGAACAAGAACCGTTTCTGAACTTAATGTAACCATCTTTCAATCAGCTCAAGAATCTCACCTCCTAATGCCACTAGTTGGCTTAATTGTCCTCTGCCTGTGTCTCTCCAGCCTTAGCCTTTTGGCCCTTGATCCCTCCCACCAATGTTAAAGACAGCCCGGTTAGCTGCGCTCTCCTGGGTCTGGCTGAGGGGAGGGAGGTGGAATACTAAGATTCAGGGTTGGAGCACACTGCTACTGCTGCAGCAAGCTGAGGCTCCCCACTCCTAGTTACTAAGGGAAAAGGAGGAACTTCTCTCCCTCGGAAAAATGCCTTTAGGGACCGGTAGGGCACAGCAGTGGGGGTGGGGGTGGGTAAGAGGAGCATCTTTGATTCTCTGTTCCATATTGGGAATGGGAATAATTTGAGAACCCAGGACGTAAAAGGCTGTTTCTTCCCAGATTGTCCCTTTGTGTAATATTTGTTTTCTGCATGGTTTTTCTTTTTCTTTCTTTTCCTTTTTTAAACTTTTTATGTGTCAGGATTAATGACTGCCCCTTCTCACACCTCAGAGATTTTTGGGTTTGTCACTGAGGTTGTGTGTGTGTGTGTGTGTGTGTGTGTGTGTGTGTGTGTGTGTTTTAATTGAACTTAATTAAAGAGTGATGGAATGGGTAGTGGCAGCTGATGGGTACAGGGAAGGGCGTGTGCATGTAATGGAGGGGTCTTTTTGCCAGCTAACAATTTAAGCAAATGTATGATTGAAATAAACTGTCATAGATGGCAGATGGTGAAACCGAACCAATGTTGCCCACGTCCAGAAGTCTTTCTCTCACTCCTCTAACTGATACTAAAGACTGGCATCTCTCTCTCTCTTGCCTTTTTTATTTCCTGTTTTAAGAGCAAAGTCAAAATAGCAGACAGAGGGATGGGGAGGGGCACACACTTCACCACCCACCCTCCCTGCTCCCTCCTCCAAACTGCAAATGCCTCCAGGGACCAAGCTAAAGAGGCAAGAACTCTCTGAAATGCAGAATGCCATCACCAGGTTTACTTAACCTGAGAATTGTTGCTAGTTTCCCCTTCCACCCAAGGGGAAACCAAACTGCTTCCAAATATGCTTCTAAGAGGCTCTTTCAAGAGAAGTATTTTTGCAAATGTCTTTAAGATGTTAAGGCTCCAGAGAGATCCCCTCTCCCCCCCAGCTTATTCTTCCTAACCATCTTTTGTTTTTAATTAAAACATGGCATGATGACGCAGACTGTGCGCATAACACCCATTCAGACCCTGAATGTTCTAGAAGAGAGGTGCTTTATTTGGTAACTTTGAGGAGGGGGGATTTGGTCTAAGCATGGTCATTTCGGGTTGTCATTCTAAACAAAATATCACTTGAAGGGCAGGATCTGCAGGGACAGGAGTTTCCTCTAAGTCTGTCTATCATTAAGACCCACTAAAGAAACCTCCAGAAGACACACCTTTATGATTTCTACCGGAGGAAAGAAAGCCCTCCCAGGTTGTGGCAATTAAGGGAAGGCTCTGTGGGTTTTACTCACTTAGCTTTCTCACAGGAAGACTTCAGAAATCCAATGCCCAAGCCCGCTCCAGCTTGGTGCATTAAAGGGCTGGGTTGATGTGTTTACAATAAAAGCTTCCAGAAGCAAAGGCTTTGTGGCAAATGTTAGAATTACCAAAATATGGATATTGGAAATGGTACTTTAACCTCCTATCCCAAGGCATTTTTTTCCCCTTTCATTCTTTTTCCAACGTGTCCACGAGAAAAAAAATTCTGCTGCTTTGCTTAATACTACTCTCCCTGACCCATGAAGATCTGAAGTTCTTGTAGATCTAATGAAGCATCGCCGAAGAGAGGAATTGGACTCTGGGAACTGAACAACAAATGATGGCCATGGCAAGCTGTGTGCTTTACTCTGTGAGTGCCTCTGTTTCTGCATTGTGTCTCTCTGTGGGCAAGCAAACATGGTTTCTACAAAACAGGAAAATGCTCACATCATTTCTTGCGCCTGTGCCTCTTCTTCAGCTCCGGAGAATGACAGGGGAGGGGGCAGGCATGAATAAGGGAAACTGGTAGTTTTAACTAAGGTTTTTATGACACTTGCCATCTTTTCTTTCTCAGTTTAATTAATTGTTAAGCTTCAGGAAACTTGCTCTGACCCCTTCCAGCAAAATCTTCTAAGCATTAAAAAGGAAACCAAAATTTTAAAGCTGTAGCTTTTTTATTTTTTCCATTTATTTTTAAAATGTTTTATTTATTTTTCACAGAGGGTGCTAACCTCATTCTGTGCTACTTGCAAAAAATTTAAAGCCACAATTCACAATTCATGTCCCACCCTAGGCACTACAATGGATTAACCCTCTATTGGCAGTATCTTCTCAGCTGATTAAAGCTCACCAATGATCTTAAGGTGTGTGTGTGTGTATGTGTGTGTGTATGCATGGGGGGTGTTTACAAAGAAAAGAGGTCTTTTGAAATGACACTCTCAGACTAGTTTTGGTCCTCTTGGTTTTCTAAATTAAACCAGAGGAAGCTGGTTGAAGGAATTCTGTCCTTTGGTGTAGTTGGAAAAAACAGTCCCTGCAAGCTGTACCCCAACACACCTTGTGTTCCCAAAACTTCAAAGTTACCATCAAAAAGATAAGATCATTCCAGTGAAGGCAAAGGAGCCTTCTGAAACCAATTTTTTTATATTCTACCTAGCTCCTCAAAGCAGAAGAGAACCCTACCGACAGGAAGGCAGACACATATAACCTAGCACCAATGAATGTGTGAAGAGTTTAAAATGCAACAATTTAGTTGAATATAACTATATTTTGAGAGACATTTATGGACAAACGCATACACTCATCTGTTTCTGTTACCTATCTTCATATCTTCATAGCTCTAGGCATATAGAAACACAAACACAAAAGTACAGTTTTCGCCACATACACACATACATAGCCGTGCATACACACACACACACAGGCACATAATCACATTACATAACTGCCCTCCAACGCTAATTATCTTCCTCCATTTTTTTCTATGATAAAACTTTTGTTCAAGGAAAGATTTGAAAGAATCAATTGTAATTAAGCTAGAAAGGACTGATATGACCAATAGTTTCTCTGGACATTAGTTATACGTGGGTACATATTGTAGCCATGGGGTCTTCAGATTATTCATGCTATGGGCAAGTGTATACCTACTGCTTAGTGGTAAGAACCAGCCAATGGCAATGCAATCTTTTGAGAGTTATTTTCTACTTTAGGGTGAAAAATATATTCTACATTTTAAAAAGGTTCTTTCATGCTTCCCGTTGCCCCCTGGGACCCATGAAGACAAAACTATTATGTCTTCTAACTTTGCTCAATTGGAATCATCTCCTGGCCTTCCTAGTTGAAAACAATTTTCTGAATCCCTTTGGTTTTCTGCTTAAAGTGAAGGATATGGCTTTTACCTCCTTCATGTTTAGATAGACATGTCAATGAAGTAGAGAATGGGATTTTGTGACAAGTGTCTTGGCATGGATGTCTATATCCTTACATGTGGAACATGAACTTTGGAGAGGATGAATGTTTTATGCAGAGTCACCCAGCTGGTGAGTAGAAGTGATTGAAATTGGCCTGGTGACCTTTTCACTATACCTTCCTCTTCTATACCTGCAGACAACCTAGGATTAGACTGGGCACAGGTCACAGGTTCAATATATTCTTGTTGAAACCCATGGGGCACAAAGCTCAAATCGAAAATTTTCAGTAATGCTTTTTTTAGCTCTGGTAAATAGCAATTGGTAAGGCAGGACTCTGCCAGTGGAGGCAACTTCCACAGGCTTCCAGGAGCACAAATGATCGGTAAGCATCTAGTCCACCTGTTTACCAGAGAATTTTGGACTCAGAGAGTAAAGTATAGAAATCCATGTAATTGTCAGAGATTTATCTGCATTGCTTTCTTGGTGATTATATAAACTCTGTGTCCAAAGACAGTGGTTTTTAACCAGAGGCAAATTTGCCAGTCAATGAATAGCATTGCCTAAAGGCAATTTTGCAAGAGTGGGAATATAACTACTGGAAATGAATGGGTAAAGACAATGGATACTCTAAACATCCTGGAATGCACAGTATACCTTCAACTTCAAAAAAACTATTTGATCTTAAATTTTGAGAGTGCTAAGATTGAGAAATCCCAGCCCACTGTCAAAAGCACTAGTGCCTTCTTAACCAATATTCACAACCTCTAGCTTTGCACAGAATGGTCTTTAACTTTTGACTCACCAGTCTTCCTATTTCCTGCCCAGGAACTGGAAGTCTAAATTAAACACCCTCAGGTTGGTTGCTAATCGGCAGAAAGACCTGTAGTTAGCATATGCTTCTCAAAGAACATATGGCAAAACATAAATTAACTAGGATAAAACTAGTTAGAACCCTCTGTTGACCCACTTTTTCTTTAGAAATATTTTGTTTAGGAAATATATTTTAAAAACCAAGCCAACACTGGTGATTTAACTAATAAGAAGGCACATGGGAACCTTGATATTCCTTTTAGAATGTCTTCTGGAATCCAAAGAGATTGAGCCCAGTTGCCTGTGCTGTCCCCTTCCACAACATGG